ACAATCATAAATATCTATGCACCAAACATTAGTGCACCCAACTATATAAAACAAATACTAGCAGACAGGAAAAATCATATAAGCATTAATACAATAGTAGTGAGGGACCTCAATATCCCACTGTCACAAATAGATATATTAACTAGACAAAAAACAATGAAATACTAGAACTCAATCAAACTCTTTTTTTTAAAACAAGTTTATTTAAACAACAAGACACCAGGGCTGGGGATTTAGCCCAGTGGTTCCATCGCCTGCCTTGCAAGTGCAAGGACCTGAGTTCGATCCCTGGTACCAAAAACAAAACAAACAAAAAAACCCCAACAAGACACTTGACTTAAAGGGAAAACTATCTAGGATTCTTTTTCTTTTAAAGAGTAATTTACTCCAACATAAAGACAGATTTCCCTACATGTAACAGCTAGGTACAAAAAAGTTATAAAATTGTCCTTGGTTTTACAATGATAAATGAAAAATATTAAAATTCTCCAATCAAACAAGGTATGCAAGGATTTTTATGTTGTTGTCTTTTCTGTTAAAGCAGTGAGAGCAAAATAACTTACTGGAATATAAAGATAAGAGCTGATGAGCATGCCACTAATGGAGAGAGGGAATTATTTTCACAGAACCAGTTTCTCCCTATCCCGTCTCCATCTGATGTCAATCAAAATATATTGTTGGCCATTTAGTTAAAAAAATGCAATATGCTTGTGCACATACACCAGATACTTTATGTACAATAAAGGAATGGGGAAGGGGTAAATGAAAGAATAGAGAAAACAATACTGTAGTAGTCAGGATGTGGTGGAACGAAATTACAGTTTTCTAATTGAGAATGTATGCTTGGTCTGTAGGAACAGAGTTCTGGAGTAGAGTTGTTGCAGGTTCCCTTTTTAGTAGACACCTGTCTGCTGCTGGAACACATCAATTGTATCTTCATCCTCCAGTTCCAACTGTGCAGGTGTGTCTGTTTCATTGATTGGCTGTCCATCAAATCAGAATCTGATCTTCCTTATTGACAAACCTTGTCATTCACAATAGGCTTTTATTAGTTTACTAAGTGGTGTATGCCTCTTAATCTTAAACTGCACCACAGAACCATCCTGCCCTGCTACCTCTAAATTAATATGGTCGTTGTTCTCAGTCTTGACTCCTTCCTTGGACTTTTCATCAGCCATAGTGAGCGCCTGAGTCTTCTCAGCTGCGTCTTCACAAAAGAGGTACCAGGTCTGCACCAAACCAGCACACAAGCAGCTCCAGGAGCGGCAGAAGGAGGCAGCAGCAGTGGCCGAGGGAGAGGGCATGCCTCAATCAAACTCTTGAACAAATGAACTTAACAGATATTTACAGAGTTTTCCATGCCACAAAATCAAAATATACATTCTTTTCAGCTGCACATGGGTCGTTCTCCAAAATAGACCACATACTTGCTCACAGAACATATTTAAGTGCAAAGGAATTGAAGTTATCCCCTGTATACTATCAGGTCATAGTGTGATGAAATTTGAGATCAATAGTAAAAGAAACTGCAACAATTTCATAAACACATGGAAATTGAACAACATACTTCTGAATAACCGATGAGTCATGGAGGATATTAAAGAAAAAAATCAGACAGTTCCTACAATTAAATGACAATGACAATTCAGCATATCAGAATCTATGGGACACAATGAAAGCAGTCTTACGAGAGAAATTCATAGCAGTGAATACTCATATTAGGAAAACAGAGCAAGCCCAATTAAACAACCTGATGCTGAACATCAAGCTTCTAGAAAAAGAAGAGCAGGAGAAACTGAAAGCAAGGGAAGAAATTATAAAGATCAGAGCAGAAATCAATGCAATGGAGGCTAAGAGAACGATACAAAAAAATCAATGAAGCCAAGAGTTGGTTCTTCGAAAGAATAAATGAAACGGACAAAGCCTTAGCCAAACTTATCAGAAAATGGAAAGAAAAGCCCAAATCCATCCAATTAGGAATGAAAAGAGTAAAATTACAACCGACCCAGCAGAAACACAGAGGATCATCCATACCTATTTTGAAAAGCTATATGACAATAAATCGAACAAAAGAAATGAACAGATTTCTAGATACATATGAATTACCAAAGATGAACGAGGAAGACTTAAAAACTCTAAACAACCCAATATCAATTAACGAAATTGAAAAAGTAATTAAAAACGTAATGAAAAAAGCCTGGGTCCTGATAGCTTCACTGCTGAATTCTATAAGACATTTAGAGAGGAACTGCTGCCACTACTGTTTAAACTCTTCAATCAAATTGAAAGGGAAGCAATGCTCCCAAATTCATTCCTGGAAGCAGGCATCACCTTGATCCCCAAAGCAGAGAAAGACCCAACCAAAAAGGAGAACTACAGGCCAATCTCACTAATGAAAATAGATGCAAAAATCCTTAATAAGATACTGGCAAATAGAATGCAGAAGATCATCAAGAAGA